CTTGCCACTGAGGGTTGTTTGTCCTGCTGAATAGATATAATTTACAATGAAAACGAACCAAGAGCGAGAGACAGAGAGAGAGAGAGAGAGAGAGAGAGAGAGAGAGAGAGAGAGAGAGAGAGAGAGAGAGAGAGAGAGATTGACAGAGAAAGAGATCGGGGGAGATGGAGAGAGAGAGATAGATAGAGAGATAGAGAGAGAGAGATTGACAGAGAAAGAGATCGAGGGAGATGGAGAGAGAGAGATAGATAGAGAGATAGAGATTGGGCTAGAGAGAGCGAGAGCGAGGGAGATAGAGCGAGAAAGAGAGAGAGAGCGAGAGAGAGATAGAGAGAGAGAGAGAGAGAGAGAGAGAGAGAGAGAGAGAGAGAGAGGGGTGGGGATGGGAGTTGTTGTTGTTGTTTGAATGTTTACGCAGACGTTCAATGTTTCAGGGCTGTCTGGAAACACTGCGCACAGACTTCACCCTCTACCAGTGGATGGTCCTTGGGGTCACTGTCGGGGTGCTGGCCTTCCAGGTTAGGAGAAATAGTTGTTTGTTTTTTTTTTTTGGGGGGGGGGGAGGAGAGTTGCTTTGAGTTTTTTAAATGTTTGTTATGGAGTGAATTATCTTTCACCATGTATCGGTTTAATCATTGTTTTACGTCAAGATAATATTCAAAATGTTTTAATACTTTCATTATAATTTGGAAGATCTATAATGCTGATGCTGTCTTATCTTATTTATTTTATATATCTATCTTATATGAAAACACAATGTCCCATTCGGAGATCACGGAAATCATACTCCTGTACATATTTTTTAAAGGTGTAAAACATTAAATAAACTTCCAACATTTTCCCCAGTTCCTGACCATCGTCCTGTCCCTGATCCTTGTGGTCCAGAACGTGAGCAACAAGTATGAGATGAGCTGATGACGTAGAGCACAGGAAGTTGAAGTGATGACGTAGAACACTGTAAGTTAAAGCGATGACGTAGAGCACAGCAAGATGGGATGATGATATAGAACATGGCATGATGGGGTTATGACGTGTAGCACAGCAAGATGAGGTGATGACGAAGAGCACAGCAAGATGAGGTGATGACGTAGAGCACAACAAGATGAGGTGATGACGTAGAACACAGCAAAATGGAATGATGATATAGAACAGAGCATGATGGGGTCATGACGTATTGTACTGCAAGATGAGGTGATGTTGTAAGTCACAACGAGATGTGCTGGTGACGTATTACAAAAATCTTCAAGTTACAACATAGAACTTCAGACAACTTTCGGACAATGTTTCTAGATAACCCTTATTTCGCAGGGTGTATTTTTTCCTGTATATTCGAACATAAAATTGTATCTTTTAATGTACCATACATCGATTCTGGGAATAAGGTCTCTTTGTTATATATATATATATATATATATATATATATATATATGTGAGGCAGCGTGGTGGAATCAGGCTCTCGTCAATTTTTGGTCATGTAGAGTTATTGGTATCATCTTAAAGCTTGTTCATTAGTCTTGCTTTGGATGGAAAAAAATATCCATTAATCTTGAATACAAGTCGAGATATTTGCGAAAGAAGGAGGTGGGGGTCACTTGTTTTCAGAGGTAAAATTAGTGAGAAAATGGCCGCCATAGATTAGTTATTTGGAAACATTTTCAGTTTTTGTTCCTTTAATCGACGTTTTTCGGAAAAACCAACACAGAAATGAATTCTTTTATGGACATGAAAGGTGTTCAGTTAAAAAAAAAAAATTGATAAAAATTCACAAACCTGCGGAAAAATGCAAGTTTCTAGACTTTTATTATTTTGACGAGAGCCTGATTCCACCACGCTGCCTCACATATATATATATAATATATATATATGTGTGTGTGTGTGTGTGTGTGTGTGTGTGTGTGTGTGTGTGTGCGTGTGCGTGGGCGTGTGTGTGTGTGTGTGTGTGTGTGTGTGTGTGTGTGTGTGTGTGTGTGTGTGTGTAAATCAGTTCAGTTTCCTTTAAAAAAATAAAAAAGAGAGCATACATGTTCATATCATACAACACCGGTGTCTGACTAATATTCAAATGACGTGTGACTATGCGACTAGAAGGAGTCGAAGCTTGTGTTGGGGTCTGATCAATATCATTGTGTTGCGACACGGTGGAATCAGGTTCTCGTAACAGTTTGGGGCATAATTTGCTCTTATTGGGATAGCATCCTTAAAGCTTTTTCGTTTGTCCTGCTTGAAACAAATACCCATCTATTTTGAAGAGAAGTCAAGACATTTGCGATTGAAGGAGTTGGGGTTGCTAGTATTTAGAGAAAACAGTCGCCAACGTAAGGTGACTTTTACAGCTTGAGAGTCAGTGGTAAGTGTAAATTTACATTTTGTGTGATTTTAATCAATTATTTTCAATATTAAATAACATACACACGTTTTTTAAAGTGGACATTAAAGATGCTACCCTCCAAAAATAAAGCTAGTGGAAAATAAATGTTGATTTCTTTGATATTTTTATTTAAGCGAGCACCTGATTTCACCATGATGTCACACGTATAGAACTCGGGGCTCTCATCCCAGTTTCAGAGCGTGCTAGGGGAACCTGCCGAGCTCGATACTAGTTTATTTATATAACTTTTTGTTGAAATCTTTAACAATGGTATGTCAAAAATGAATAAAAGGAGGGAATCAATAGGCCAACGCTTGAAAAACTGTACAAGATTTTACAGCTCTCAATTGCTACTATAAACAAAGTCGTTATGGTTCAAAGTGATTTTTATATCGAACATCATGTCTATCCAGGGGCGAAGGCTGACTTGTTTGACAGGGTAATCAAAGTGAAATGTGATCAGATAGCCTGTAGAGATATCACACAAGAATCTTACTCGAGGCGGCGACTCTGAGTTGTGAATGAAAACAAATTCGGAGTTCATATTGTATGTTCAACCGCCAAAATAATTGGGAAAGTATCTTATTAATTATCAGTTCCAACTAAAATTTAATTTAACTTTAGATGAGAATACATAAACACAAAGCAAAGAAGCAAAGATGTCAGTACTAGATTTATATGTTATAGATCTACCAGTGAGTCTAACTCTTTGGTAGAACATGACAATTATCATTTTTTAACTTTCACATTTGGCTGTTTTTGTTAGCCTTTCGCGGCCAGGAGCTGGTGTCATAATCGAGGTCACGATCTGATTATAGGACGGTAAAAAGTCGAGGAAAAAAACAAGCACATGCAGCAGTCCAGAGATTATTAGGAGTTAGTTCCCCTCACATTTGTGAGGTAGACTCGACCAGTGTTAGTTAGCTTACATAATCAGGGCTTGTGATTGATTATAACTGTGGCCCCAAAGGGGTGAACAGGGTAAATGTGGCAATGAAACAGCTTTGACTGCTATGCACATGTTCCCTTCAACTCTATTGGTAGACTCTTCCAGCCTCACTTTAAGCTTACTTAATCAAAGCTTGCGACTGCTTATGGAGTGGCCCGAGAGGGGTGACGAGGCTATTTCTGTGGCCGTGAAACCGTTTTGAATGTTAGGCATACTGTTCATTGTTGAGTGATTATTTGATTATATAGACGCTTCGCCCCTGGGTCTATCGACTTCGGAAATTTGTATTCTTTGAAACAATATTTAGGTCTACTCTTCTGACATCTCCTGAGGTATGTATTATCTTGAATAAACGTCAAATTTGAGTCTTTTTAAACAAACAACTAGGGTGCACCATACCATCCCACTATACAATGTGTCTACCTGTTACCTATCAAAATGCAGAAATAATTTGTTCTAATACCCCATTAGGAACAAAACTAACATCCAGACATCACACCAAATTCAAGAACGTATTTACCGTATTAACTATTTATAAAAACATATTTTTTAATATAAATTTTCTAATATTGTAAGTGAAAGCATTGTTTGATTTTTTTCTTCCTCTCTGTCTATGGACTGCGCATGAGGATGAGAAGACCTGTGTAATCCTTAGAATATTGCTGTAAGTCCATTCACTTTCCTCGTGCCCAAGTTTATCTCCTTGTTTATTTTCTCTGGGAATCTGCGCTTGGGTTTGAAATGCTACTGAACTCCAGGATTATATTTTATCTTGCCAAAGTCGAAGCTATTACTGGTGGTGTCGCTTTGATAACCGTGAAAACAACGGTGTTTGAATGTATACAATTTAAAATGATTTACACTACAGAGGTCCCTGCGTTTTATACCTTTTCCGTTCTCTCGAATCCCTACAAATGTGTTAAAAATGTTCTCTATGTCGAAAGTATTTACCGCCTTTTTATTTTTTTGTGAGCATGAACGAGTCTATAAATAGTTTTTAACTGCTAAATACTTTCGTTACTGTAAAGAGAAATTTTCAGGTCAGGAATCTTGAGATGTTCCCAAAAGATCAGAGGAATTCGCCGCTTTCAAGAAACCGCTTAACATGCACTTCAAAAGGCACGGCAATCTGTAAGTCATTAATAGGTCTAACTTAAGACTGAAAAAAGGCAGTGCAATACAAAAAAAAAGTTTCTTTTAAAGAAAACTGCAAGAAACTTTGGGTACCTGAAACTAAACGGACTATTGGTCCAGAAGCAGCAGAGTCATAGCTTATTGATTATCGTCAGAATCACCAAAGTTATTTTCACCATTTTCGGAAAAAGTAAAAAAACCAAACAAACGAACATACATAACCGAACGAGAACCTTAAGAGTATCACTAGCCAAAGCTTGTCTTTTTAATGGGACATAGAGGCAAAACAGTCATCAGTTTATTATTCGTTATAATCAAATGTGCAGTTTGATGTGAACATAGAAAGAATATTTCTAGATAGGCCTAATAAATATGATTGTGCCGTTCTAAGCATCTATAGCATATCTTTCTGTTTCAATTGTGTTTTGCACGTTACCTTTTTTTACATAATTCAGGTACGAGCACACATAAAATCAACAGTCGTGGCTGCATTCGCCAAAAAGATACACTTGGTAAGATGATGAACTTGTGTTTTAAACGTTCTTGGGG